TTATTCGGTAATTGCAAATTGAAATAGTTGAATTCAAGAAATTTGTAATTTCGTAAATAACAAAATTTAGGTTTTTTTTTTTAATGTACAAAGATGTATATTTTTAAATTTCACAATGATACAAAGTTTATTGAAAGTAAGCAAATTTTTATACAGTAACAAGCAAACCCAAGCATTGTTTTTTCGCTACTTGCCGTATATAAGAATTATACTTTAGTAAACAAGCAATTTTACTTATTTCATTTACTTATTTCACTTTTGACAGTCAGTTTTTTTGAAACAGTATAAAAAGGGATGAATTTGTACAGTATTAGTAAAGTTGACCGCTTACCTTTTTCAATAGAACACTACATTAAAGAAGTACAGTAGCATATTCCAGTGAAGAAAGTGTTATATATGACAATAGAACACTAAATTAAAGAAGTAGCATATTCCAATAAAGAAAGTGTTATAATACAGTATGACAAATGAAAATATTGATTCATTTTCAATTGAGGTGCTTAAAAAAAATGACATCTACCTACAGTAAAAAGATGCATAAATCATCCAGGAAAGTCTTAGAAAATAAATTAAATTACTGAATTAGTTACAGTATTAATATTGAAATTGTAAATACATAGCATTAGCTTCATACGTAGAACTTAAATAATATATATATTTAAAATATACGTACGTACGTCCATACAGAGAATCAGGATACACATTAAGTGGATGCATGAATAGGGCTGTATCCGTCAATTATAAGTTATTAATGCAAGGTATTGCAATGTATAAAAGCTTGGTACGTATATGATTTGCTACGTAAGTGAAAATACAGAATGATTTACCTATTACATTATCAGTTATACAGTTATACAGTTATACAGTATATGAGGTACGTATGTATTACATTTTTAAATCCAAAAACTTAAATTAAATAACTAAACTTAGGTAACAGGATTAATGATCGACAAGCTTATCTAAAAAAAATAGGGTTTGTAATAATCTTGTCAAACGAAATTTGGAAAAAAAGAAAAATTTGTGAATCAAATAGATATAAAATTTCAAAATTCGAGAAATAGAATATAGGCTTCGATGGAAAGGGAACGAAAAAGATTTTTTGTTTTTTTTGAATCAAAAAAAGTTACAAGTGTTGAAGTTTTATAATGATAAGGATTTTCTTATCATAACGACACAGTAATAAAATAACGATAAACATTTCTTTATTTATTTAGTTTTTGACCAACCAAATTTTCATAAATTTTCATAATTTTTAAGTCAACAAAACAAAGGATTAAAGACTTTGTATGAACGATTCTTCACCTTGTCGCTTAAGGGATGAAGAAATAATAAAGAGAATATTAACAAGTATCTTGGTTGGTTATGATTAAGGCTAAAGGACATAAAGATACATATATATTAACCAAGATAATTTTCCAAAAATTTTTTTGAAAACATTATTTTCATATAATTTACACTCATTTATCCGTTTTCAATATTTTCATATAATTTACACTCGTTTATTTCTTCCATTATTTTTTTTTTCGCAATGCTATAACACATTATAGCATTACGTTATAACACATTACATTCTAACACATTACACTATAGCATTACATTCTAACACATTACACTATAGCATTACATTCTAGCATTACGTTATAACACATTATAACGCATTATAACACACTTGATATAAAACAGAATCAAGGTACACAGCATAAAATTTTATAAAATTTTTCAAGACATGGCACGCGTAAACAGTTTGAATTAGCAAAATTAGTTCAACAAGAAAATTCATAGGTTTAGAATTAATGAAAATAAATCATATATGTCATAAATTATAGAATTAGCATTCAATAATTCATCATTTTAATTACTTTCCGCATTTCAAATTACCAACCAAAAATACAAATAGAAAATTAACAAAAATCTAGACTTGAAAAAAAATGTTGTGTTAGTTATGTTAAACAGTAGAAGGCTAATTTTGGCGCATGGATACAGAATCTCGAACCAAGTTGAAATCTTTTAGAAACCCTTGTTTGATAACTAATAATAACAACATTTTCAAAAATAACTAATAATAGTAAAATTTTTCTAAAAGTAAGGCTAAGTTTAAAGAAATGATTTGTCAAAACAAGATCCTTGTCTTGCATATTACTTTATTGCTTTATTACTTTATTACTTAATTACTTTATTATTTTTATTATTTTTATTACTTATATTACTTATATTACTTATATTACCTATATTGCTTATAATGGCTGAATTTTTTTAAACGTAGATGGATCAGAAGGAAATTGAACCTAATACATGTGTAATAGATATTGAACATAGTGCATGTGTATGTGTAATATGTGTAAGAAAGATGTGTAAGAAAGATGTGTAAGATGTGTAATGTTTTGAATGCTAATGATCAGAATTTATCAGAAAATCATGCCGGCTTAACTACACAGGCACGTCAGGTACATAAAAACGTAATAGAAATTACACCATACTTTCGAAGGCAGAAGTACATGAAAAAAAAAAAGTGTAATACAGAAAAAAAAACAAGGTCATAGAAAAATTTCATTGTAAAATTTTATTTAGGTAACGATTGCCACAATTAACTCTAGAACCTACAATTGTCAGAATCGTCATTGAGTTAGAGATTCTGATTTTCAGCGCAGACAAAGAAAAAATGAATTTCGCGTGGCGTGAAATGTTTCTTTCGCATACATGATTACGCAATTTAAATCCATATTCTTAAATATTATTGTTACACTGCATAAACATTTGGTGATATGAAATCATTTAATGCGTATTGTAATAGGGTAGTATATAGTATAGTAGTAAGGTAGTATAGCAGTAAGGTAGTATAGCAGTATATGGTATAGTATATAGTATAGAGTATAGTAGACGGTAGTAGTTAGCAGTTAGCAGTAAAGTAGTAAGGTAGTAGAGGATGCGTACATACATACTTACGTACTTCGTACTTATTATACTTGCGTACTTATTATACTTGCGTACTTATGTTCATACTTACGCATTTATGTTCATACTTACGCATTTATGTTCATACTTACGCATTTATGTTCATACTTACGCATTTATGCTCATATTTACGTACTTGTATGCTACTATATGTACGTAGATGGTATTTAGAAAAGTAACATGACCAATAGAGACAGTTAAATTGAGGAACAATGATCGGTATAAAAAAAAAAAAAAAAATTTACAAGAATTATCGTGATTCATTCCACAGAAAACGCCCTATGAATTGAAAGTTGCACGATGAAGATCATGTTAAGCATATTTTAACATAGAATGAATCGAACTCGGGTTCTTAGATTCGAGGATGAACTACGTAACACAAGAACTGTGAGAAAAAAAAAAATGGATTGATGAATGAACAAGGAGAAAGAGGTTAGAAAGGGTTAACAAAGACGAGTAAAACTTCTTTGTTGATTTGCCACGTTTTTTTTTATATTATGTAATCGTCTAAATTCCATTTGTTTGTTGCTCGTTTTCGGTATTCTTAAATGCCACATGGCAAATAAAGTTACTCAGATGTAATTCACACTGGTCATTGTATTTTCCCTCCGCAAAATTTCGCAAAAATTTCGCAAAAATTTCGCTGCATTAGCAAAATCTTGGTGATACTCTGTTTAACGTGTGCATTATATTTTTTTTAGTTTAATATCTGTAAAGATAACAAGGAGTATATTCGTATACCATAATAATGGCTATTAATTCCTTTTATGTCAAACAGGTTCGGGAACAAGGTAATTTAAAATTGAACAAATCAAATATTGATTTTCTGCTTATTACAAAGAGTTTTTTCGTACTCTCTGGGCGTGGATCATTTTCCGGATATTAATTATTTATTTATTTATATATTTTTCGTTGTATATCAACATCTAAATAATATCTTTTATTCATATATTTCTTATTTATTTCACATATTTTTATATATATTTTTTTTTCTTTATTATTTTTAATAATAATTATTTTTATTATTTCTATATCTGTATTTTATTTTATAAATCTGTACTATTTTAAACTATTTTATATACTATTTTATATACTATTTTATATACTATTTTAAACTATTTAATATTTATTTATACATTTTATACCATTTTAATAACATCTATTATATTGTATACCTACCAGTATATGTTTATGTCTATATATATAGCCTTTTTCCCCGCTTTCCATTTTTTTCCTCGTCCAAATTGCGCATTTCAAAGTGCTTTGTTCTTTGAGGAATTTTCAATAAAGAAAATAAAAGCAGTTCTTGCTCTGCGAGCATTACCATAATATAATTCTCTTTTTTTTCAATTTTCAATTTTTTCTTTTTTAAAAAAATAATAATACAAAACCATGACGTCGACATCAACTCCTCCAACGTCCCCAAAACCTGTTGCTCCATTGGTTGAACCTCCAACATTACCTAAATTGAGGCACATTGCTCCTGCTCCTCGTGATAAACCTGAATATGATATTTATCATATTCCAAAAGGTTATGAAGTAGTTTTGGTTCCAAAATCTTCTAATGGTACTACACCTGATTTCTCTACCGGTCCTTCTCCTACTTCTCCTACTTCTACTGTTATACCTCTTTCACCTGCTGCTTCTGTGTCTAGTATTCATGGTTCCCCTTCAAAATTTTCTCCTCCTTCCACTACTTCTGTTAAATCACCTCCAAATAGTTCGTGGCGCAAACGTAAAAATAATGGTCATATTCCTCGTCCAAAAAATTGTTTCATGGCCTATCGTGAACATATGCAACATGAAGTTCTTAAAAAAAATCCTGGAATGAATAATAAACATGTTTCTGTTATTGCTGCTGAAATGTGGAAAAGTGAACCAGAAGAAATTAAACAATTCTGGCGTGCTCGTGCTCAACAGTTGAAACTTGAGCATATGGCTAAATATCCTAATTACAAATTCGCTCCTAAAAAGAAACAATCTAAATCTTCTAATAATAATGGTCTTAATGGAATTAAACAAGTAAATAATAGTAAAGTTCTTAAAAGATCTTCTGCTATGACTTCTACTATGATGACTAATGGTGATTTATTAAAGAATCGTGAAACACCTCTTTTTTGGGGTCATTATCGTTCTTCTTCTTCCGATTCTATTTGTTCTTGGACAAGTGATTCAGCTCCATCAACTCCACCATCATTCATTGATGATTCAGTTCATTCCCCTCCTATGTTTAATTCTCATCAAGATAATAATAGATCTCCTTCTCCTTTACGTTTTGAATCTTGTTTAAAGGTTGAATCTAATAATCTTGATCAACAAAATGAATGGCAAAGAATTTGTGATATGCCTCTTGAAAGTGGTTTCTTTCAAGAACTTCTTCCACCTATGGAATTCGATCAACCTATGCATGTTGATGCTCCTTATTATGATGGCATTGAATGTGGAAGTTTCCTTCAACACGACGCTCAACTTTTAAATTCCTTTGAATTTAATCCTATCATTCCTGCAAATCATCCTAATCAAGCTTACCACAATAATGCCCTTTATTAATTCTTTAATCAAGTTCAACTGAACAGCGCGGATCGCTGTAATTTTATACGTAATAATTTAGTTGCATATTTTCTCGGACATTTTAATTGAACATTTTTAATCAAATAATTTTTACGCGCATATTTTGGACACCTCAAACATTCTTCACATTTTAATGTGTAAAAAAAAAAAAACAAAAAACAAATTGAAACAAAACCTTTTTTTTTTGTATTTATTCTTAAATTCCATTTCGTCCTCCCCTTGTATTTTTCCGTCGCTTTTTTTTGTAACCTATCATAGATTATACATACGTTTATAGACGCAAAGTCTCCAATTTAACGTAAAGTTGGCTGTACTTGCAATTTTGTTATATTATCATCATAGACTTGTTTTAAATAGCATTGTATTTATTGTTGCATTTTCCTTTTTTTTTTTTTTTTTTTTTAAAAAAATTGCATTTTCATTCTTTACATATACACGTTGCATTTCTTTTTTACAAACATCGCATTTTCTTTTCTTTTCTTTTTTTTAAACATCGTATTTTCTTTTCTTTTTTCTTTTGATTTTTTGGTATTTGGTATTTAGTTTTTAAATTCGGTTTGCATTTCGAAGAAGATAAAAAAAAAAAAAAAACCAGAAAAAAAACCCTAAAAAAAAAATTTCTTTGCACCAATCATTTTATTTTTATTTATATATCTATATATTCTTTTTTCATATTTTCGTTCTTTTTTTTTTCACCAAAAAAAAAAATTTCATACGATCAAATTTTTTAAATTTTTTTTTGAAATTTTGTGTACGTTTTAATCATCAAAATTTTTAACATTTAAACGAAATATAATTATGTAAAAGCAACAAACAAACAACAAAAAGAACTTTATCCAAAGTTTAATTAAGCAAGGGCGAAGTTTATTACTTACATATATGCAAGCAAAATTAAATAAAAAAAATCTAATTTCTAGGATTGCTTCTTTTTTTTCTGACAAATATACTATATAGTTACAAAATATCGAAATTATCGAAATATCGATACAGTATTATTTTTTTTCCTGATGCGATTATCAATCAACATTTGAGTACGTAAAATAAGTAACGGTAACGGTAACGGTAACAGTAAACGGGTAATCAAAAAAAGATGTACAGTACGTACGTACGTATCGGTTATTCTTTACTGTTACGCCAGTTACAATGATAAATGATACTACTGATACGTTTTTTAGAATTTCGAATTTTTATTGGACTCGGAAAACCCGGAGTATTGTCTTGTGTCACAGTATATATTATATTGCGTCACAATGATTTGATAGGCCGTCATGGTGATCTGATGATTATAATTTGATAGGCTTATTTTGCAGTGCAGTGCAGTGCAGTACAGTGAACCCTCTCTTTTTACGTAAATGCACTCCTTTTTTAGATTTTGGTCTGGACCAGACGTGCATGTGTTGTGCATGTGTAGATGCATGGTTTACATTGTTTAAAGAAATTTTTTTTTAATATATACTGTTTAATACTCGTTTTACAGTAAATCAGTTTTTTTTTTTTTAATAAATAAATTGCCCCTACATAAGTATATGATCTAAGTTTATTATTATAATTTTTAATTAGGGGAACTTTAAATGATATATACTAATACAGTATATATTTATAATTATATCTAATTGTACACGTGTAGTCTGTATCACTTAACTGACATAATACAACTACACTAATATGTTATACTTGCAATGTTCTCACGATGATATAAATCTTTTTTCGACTAGCGTTAATTTTATGTCAACCAATTTAGGTAATTTGAAGAAAAAAGAAAGATTACGTACATTTGAAAAACTAGGGTTTGTATTGCATTGATAAACGTGGAACATGGAACGTGGCAAAAAAAAAAAAATCCTCACTAAAATTTGTACTAATTTATCGTGAGAAGCGGGTGTTGAAAATTTTTCTCCTTTTACACATTTTTAAAAAGATGAATCTGATTAAATACTTGCTTGATGTTCACACATCATTAACAAAATTTTTTACTTTATTAAGCCAGAAGCTATCGCTATACATCTCTAATTTATAAAGCAGAACGGAAGTTTACGGATTATCTTAAATGTCCGATAATGATTATATTGATAAAATCACACAACTAAATTCAATTTATATATATTTTTTTTAAAAATTAAAAGTTTGATTACATGACGCACTATTTTATTAATTATATACATTATGATGCAACTTAGCATTATAATTACTATATAATGCCAGTGTTTTTATTTTAATCAGGGATATTTTAAATTAATCATAATACAAAATCAAGTTTATTGTTATCATGGCGTACAAGCTCATGTCAAAGCATGCCTTGTGACTGATGATCTAATGACAATACAACCACATGCTAGGCTGATGATATCAAAGCTAGGTTTCTGCATTTTCTACGTTTATAACTTTATTTTATAATTTATAACTATATATTCTATATATATAATTAAAATATTATTAAATTTCAAAGAGAAAGATACATAGTGTAAACTTAGTAAATTATTTCATGTAATTGTAAAACACATAATTTTACGTATTTTATATATAGATATACTTATGTACATATGGTGAAGTTACACTGTGAATAAATTAATACGTATTGGCAAAATTTTGTAATGCCGGTACTTACATACGAGAAAATTATGAGATTACTAAATAAATAAAATTTTGTAAAATGAAAAAAATGTAATTTTCATAACATACAATAACCTTAGTTGGGAGAAACAAAGTGAAGCTCTAAAAGCATTATAGCATTACTCTACAATATATCGTTACAGTATCCAAAATTAACCTAAATTTGATACCAAAATCTTATATGTAGTGATGCGATCCGAATATCCGAATCCTATCTGATCCGGATTTGACCCCTGAAAAGATATCTGTCATCCGGGATCAGATAGGATATTAAATCCGTTATCCGGATGACGGATATCCGTTTTATCTGAATACCGATACATATTGTTGTTATATATTACAAAGCAAATTTGAATATCAATACGTATACATATTTAATAC